ATATCTATAATTTTGTTAATACCAAAATCAGCTATGGTTGCCAGCATCTCTATTATAATGTATAATGTGTCATGTCTCTTCAGGATGTTAGCAATCATAGCCTCCATAACTTCCTGTTCTTTGTAATCCTTAGTAAAGTTTGTCTTTTTGCTATCTCTCCTAATCCCTGTTTTGCCAATCATTTACACAGGCCTGTTTAGTAGCTTATGTACAGTTTTCCTCTGTCCCTCTTGCCTCCAATATGTCCTGTGAATGCCAAATTTTCCAAGACTTCTTTCCTTCATTATGTGCTCTAGAAATTTCAACTGTCTCTTTCCAATACTACATAGAAGTGTTCTTTTCATTTCCATTTTCTCTCAAACCGTCATTTGTCACAGGTTCATTCCATGGTATTCTCAGCACATCCTTCTGTAGAACCACATTTCTGTTGCACCAGGTCTCATCTATGAGGAGATTTTCTGTATTCACTCAAGAATTTGTTTATCCATGCCATTGTATGTTGCCCATCTGTCATCGATCACAGCATATCAAGCCAATGTATCAGTCTGTTAATGCTTGCCTATCTGTTCAACTAGAGAGCTGTTGCCTGCTTCAAGTTTTTGTCATTGAGAGTTAGGCACAATTGGCAGGAGGAAAGAGGAGCTTTTGAGTAAAGTACTCTTGTGGGAGACTTAATATGGAAAAGAGAGAGACTGAATAAAACATGTGGATCAGCTAAGAAATGATTCTTGTTTGACGAGTGAAGAACAAATAAAGATCAAGGGAGACAGAATAATGGAAGGTCATTAATGAGGTTTGGTTTCAGTCAAAATAGTTTGAGTATTTTAGAACTCAATCGACAAAGGTCTGAGTATCAAACATTAAGACTATTCTCATGTCACCTAATCATTTTATATTAATCATTTTTTTTTTTTTTAAAGGGATGGTCATGGGCTTGCACTTGTTGCCCACACTTTCTCAATGAGCTTAGGTATTGTGATGCAATATAAAACCTTTTTAGCTAATAACTATGTATCCAAGATATATTAGTGTCTCTTACTACAAGCTACCTGCAAAGTTCTTGAAGTTCCCACTTGCAAATTAAAGGCTTTGTAACCATCTCATTCCTAGCATATAATACCTCTTTTTCATTACACAGGTGAGAAAATTCACAATCTACTCTTTGCTAGCAAATCAGCCTTGTTTCCACCTCCTGGTTATTTGTTTATAACAAGGCAGAATAGTTATTAAATATTGTTTCTTTTGCTGGGATACAGACATTAATTATTTTAAATTTATATCCCAGGGTTGGCAAATTGGTTTACAAGTACTGAATTGGGCTACAATTAAAAATTCAGCATGATTAAATTAACTTTTTTATTAGTATCTGAAGTCAACCAAACTTCTTTTAAAAGTAGCCCCATGCAGGTCACTAGAAGGAAAAAACTTGAAACTCATTAATGCTGTGCTTTCAAAAGTAAGTCAATCTGGAAATCCTTTTATATCTGAGCCACTAGATATCTTCTCCACAATTTCAATAAAGTTTTGGTAGGATTTAGTCAGCATGCTTTCAATCAACGTATCATTTATTATAAAATACTTTGATTAGAACGTATTTAGAGGAAGTCATCACAAAACAGTGTATTTACTGCTGTGATAAATGTATTTTTTCAGTATCGTTTCTAAAGAGGAAAATGATATGAATTTCAAACAAGTGTGGAACACCATGCAACAAATAAACAAGACTGACTCACCAGGGTTGTAATAGAGGCCGGCATAGCCTGGAAAATTTAACACACAATAAAATGTGGAAACAGTGGTCATTTAAAGATTTGTACACTAGGAATTTAACACAAACTCCTGATATTAACACTTGTATAGGCCAGATGATTCATTTTAATATTTGATTTTAAAATATTGGATACGAAAAGAAATGGTCACCGATCTTAATATAAAATTTGTAAACCTATTTATATATTTGTTTTGCAACCTAACCACAATGGTCATAATCATTTCTCTATTCCTATAGAAGTTACCTAGCCATGAATCTAAGTGATTTATTCTCCATGTGCAGTGCTTTTTTTTTTTTTTTAAAACTTTCTTATTAGAGGTACTAATTTAATTAAAGCAACAAAAACAGGTATTATTAAAAGGAACACAAATGAACACAAGCACTATGTTAGTTAGCAATGCAAAATTAGAAGCAAAAAAGAAAAAAAAAAAAATGTTTATCTTTAGTCTATCTTCCTTTTTTAAGTAAAAATTTCCAAATTTCCTAATATAGGGGAGGTTACTTATTTTCATCACTTTGGGACAGTGACCTCTTCAGTGACATTAAGCAAAGGAACAATTTATACAGTTATAAACAACTTTACATGATAAAAAAAAAAAAATACCCAGGACAAATATTATAGTTAGTGAATAAATCTTTATTTATTCTGATAGCAATAACTGTTTAAGCTGTCATTATAATAAAGTGTTTCTTTTAGTTTAAATAATGATTTTCTTTTACATATACTGGTTAAAATGTGAGATTATATAAAAACAACAATAACACAATATTTTCACTGCCATAAGTAATTTTAAGACTTCTTCCTATTTCTGTTAGGTTGGGAAAAATCCTAAACCTATACTAGTCAGTGATAAGGAAAACCCCAAGGCTCAGCTTCCAAAGTTGGAATATCTTTGGAACAACTATTATTTAGCCATTGTGCTCTTTCCACAATTCTGTTGGGGGAGGGGGGAATAAGCAGTAAAGCAGCAGTTGAACAGTGAAAAAACGATAACACAGCAAAAAAAAAAAAAAAAAAAAAAAGTTTTTCTTTCTTTTAAATGAAAGTGGACATGTCAATAAAAAGATAAAATTTATTTTAAGCACTAGTTACTACCATATTATAACATTAATAGCAGCAGCAGGTGGTTTTCACATTTGTCTTCAAATATATAAACATATTGTCAAGGCAAGGGAGATAATACGGCAAAACGTTACAAACATTATAAAAAAAAAAAAAAAAAAAAAAAACATTTTGCGTTCTATTTCAAAATTATTATAGTGCACTAATTTTCGTGGATTTTCTCTCATGCCTTAATTGTGGTAATCACACAGCTGACTTTTTATAAGGCGTTTCTCTAATTGATTACATACGAGGTTTTCTCAGAGTTACTTTATTAAAATAGATCTTCAACATTGACAAATATATATAAAAAATAAATAAGATTAATGCATTACTGGTGTGATACAGTCAAATAGGAGATTGTTTTGCTTACCCATTGTATGGACTATATACTACCAGCATGTCAGTCTTGCTTGACTTCTCAAGTTACTGTTCAACAGATATGGTGACATTCCCAGAAGGGAATGGTAGAAGGAATGAAATGAATTAGCAAAAAAGATAATGGTTAATATTAGCAGTTTCCTTATCAGGTAATATTCAGTATTCATTCACTGAACAGCCAATGGGAGTTGAGTAATGCTTTTCTTCACTCCATGGTCATCAGGCTAGAATCAAAGTGTAGTATCTGCCTTCAGGTGAACAAACTATATTTTATCTCTCAATTGGGTTTCCATTTTCAGGCAGAACACAGTAAATGAGGGAAACTTGGTCCCAGTGATTACAACCCTGCAGCAGCACCTCCCTTATTATACCAAAAAGCAAAGGTCAATGGAACATTAATGCCAGCACATCATTGGTTGTGGGGACTGGGCAATTTTTGGTGTTACCTCATGTGTACACACTTTGGTTCCCAACTTTAAGATTGGCTTTGTACCATATCCTGCCACCATGTTGAGCAAATAAGCATAGTATCTATGCTCATTTCTAAAGGTAATATTAGCCATTTTCTTATAAAGAAATATTCGACATTCACTGGCTGAGCAGCCAGTAATACTTTTCTTTACTCCCTAGCTACCAGGCTAGGATCAAAGTGTAGTATCTTTTCTCATCTCTATGGGTAATATTACCCATTTCCTTATAAGCAAACAGTCAGACTTCACTGAGCAGCTAGCACTACTTTTGGTTGAAATTTATAAAATCTTTCTTTTAAAACAATTTTTTCAGGAGAATTGGTTTCTCAAGATCACTAAATGTTATTGCACTTTCCAGTATTGATGGCGGTTTCCTTCCTAACCTTTTGAAGTGTAGAATGTCAACATCTTGTTTATGTCATTATTTTTCTCTTCAAGTTGTGATATCCATTTTAGTTGTAGATATTGTTGAATACCTTAAGTGATGTGATTTCTGTTATTTGGTACAGTTCTTTGTAGCACCAGTCCACAAGGTTCGAAGAAGAATGGTTCTTACTGAAGACCTACAGGCTTCATCTGCTGGAAACCTTTTTTCAGCCTTGATCCGAGAAAGTGGTTTTATACAGCTGACAGATTAGATATTTCTGAAGAATTCTGGTATCATGTGTGATATCCATATGAAAGTCTTGATCTGTTGCGGCTATTTAAGAACATGCCTAGTTTTTAGGTTAATGTCTTGGTTTTGTAGCAATTTGAAAAGTTAGTGAAAAATACCCCAACACAGTATATTCTATATTCAATTTCTTTATCTTCTATACTAAATTTGCTATAACTAATCCAATCACGAAAGGTATTTGAAGCATTTAGTGGTTGAAACATAGAAAAAGTGAAAATACTCATTAAAATTAAAATTTGAGAACTAAGAATATAACAAAAAGATCATATCTTATGAAGATTTGTTTTGCTACAATCAACAAAATTTTTCAGACAATTTGCACTAAAATGTAATATTTAAGTTGTGAACACAGTATTTTCAGGTGCTGTTTCTGGTAACATGACCACTATTAGCATGACATATGTGTTAAGATACTTAAAATGTGGGTTATTAATACCAAGTTTGGATACCTTTGTACAATATATAATGCCAGATTAATAACTTTGGAGGAGGACTATTTACTATATTCTGCCAGGAAAATGATAGTCTTAATTCAAGAAAAATTCAGTGCAATAATGACAAGTATGGAAATGTAAGCTTATTAATAGACAAAAGATTTACCTTGGGGAGGATACCCTTGTTGTGGAGGGTAGCCAGGTTGCGCAGCAGGGTAGCCTGGTTGTGGAGGAGGGTAGCCGCCTGGTTGCTGGGGTGGGTAACCCCCAGTATCTGCAAAGTTAAAGAAAAACATTTTCAGACATTTAAAAAAGAAAAGAAAATTACTTCAACATCAGAAGGTCAGAGTTGAAAAATACTTCATAGTTTAGGATATTTCATTGAGAAAACAATTTTAAACCAAAGATGATTGGTATGATACAAGCAGGATTTTCTATTTTACCATTCTCAGCTGTAAGGAACTCTTTAGAAAAAAAGTTGACATGGTTAAGATTGAAATTATTTCGTTATGACTTTCATGCAGCACTATCTTTTTACAAGTTAACAAGTAAAAGATTTATAATACTTAACTCAGTCATTTAAAATGCCTACAAGAAATAAAGACACATAATCTTACTTTTTCTATCCTACAATTGTCAAGATATACAGTGGAACCCCAGTTCATCAATTTCACTCATTCAAGAAGGCTGTTTGTAAACAAACTATTTTCCTCCATAGGAAACAATGTAAAATCAATTAATCTGTTCCTGCAGAGGATTGCTTATTTAAACTTTTACAACAATACTTTGTGCACATATTCATGCACAAAACAAATGAAAATCATTAAATCTAGCACAAAAAAGATAAACACTAAAAAGATAAACACTAAACAGATAAAATATAGACAAAAACTATTTGATTTTACCATACCTGTGTGGAGGAGAGTTGATGGTGTAAGTGGAAGGTGATGAGGAAAGGGAGAGAGGGTATTGTTTGGAAGGAGAGTCCCCTTCCATAAAAACATCAGGTAACTGTCTTCCTGAGATTTCTTTCCCTTTTCTGTCTCTTAGCCCCACTCAATTCTGCTTGTGACTCACTGAGCCTCTATCTCACTAAAAAAAAATGGTCCAATGAGGTTTGCTTTTGTCTAGGTGTAAAAGTGAGATATGGCATTGTCAGTGAAAATGTTTATGCTGCAGCTTGCTAATGCTTTATCAGGGTTATATCTTTTTCACAAAACTGTACCATACACCATTTTGCAGATATTTTGCCAGGTTTATCACTAGAGATTTTTTTTTTTTTGCTTGGAAAATTTGTCTGAACTGACTTGTTCAGGATGAGAAGCTTTTGTGACCTGAGGTTCCATTGCATTCACTAAAATGACCTACAATCTTAAGTGGGGTAAGAAATGGCTTGTAAATTCTAATGCCCCCAAAATGAAACTGCTCTCTTAATTTTCTGCAGATATGAAGTGTAAAGATTATATTGAATCGACTGCTAGAAAAGTTGGTTCAATGTATTGTGCTAGGACATTTTTCTCACCAAAATCTATCTTACATATTTGTAAGTCTACCATTTGTCCATTAATTGAATAATGCCGTCACATCTGGCCCAATGCATTTATGTATTTAGAGATGCTTGGTAAAATCCAGAAAAGAACTTGTAATGTTATCAGTCCTGAAATTTTGGACAGTCACTTTCTCATTGTTGCAAAGTAGCCTGCCTGTACCTTTTCTATAAATATTTTTATGGTAATTGTTCTGATGAGCTTTCCTCTTTGGTACCTCAACTTTATCAAATTAAGCACAGTACTACATTGGCAGCTAGGTCCCATCCTTTTACAGTTGAAGTGGCTAAATGTAAACATAAGTTTTATGCTAAGTTTCTTGCCACACACTTCTCACTTGTAGAACTCTTGCTTTCCAGTCAACTTTCATCTTCAAAACTTTAAATGCAACGTCAGTTGTTATCTTAATTCATATTCTTTTGTTCTTACTTTTTCTCATATTCATCCACATCCAGTAAGCCCTTAGCTTTATTGTCTTGCTTGGAGTGAAATGATACAAGCCAATAAATTAATAAAGGTTCAAACTAATTATCTAATTTATTTGACCCTGATTAGTATGTTCACAAAACTTTGAAGTTGGTCGAAAGATAAGTTAATTGAACTTTTAATTTATTGACTTTTGTTCTCTATTGTGCACTTTCTTGACTTGAAATACATTAATTTATTTTGATTGGTATTTAATTTATTGGTTTGTATTCTTATCACTAATAAAACCTTTGTCTTTTGTTCATTTTGTTATATATATATATATATATATATATATATATATATATATATATATATATATATATATATATATATATATATATGTGTGTGTGAGAGAGAAAAATTAAAATGTTCACCTTATTTGTTTCTACTCAGAATTTTTGTAGATTTATCAACTTAAGGGGCTTTATAGTAGACGTTTACTATCAAGACCCCCTGACAAGTGAATACATCTTCATGAAACTGAGTAGAGACATAAATGGAATATTTTACATGTTATTAATGCTCTATTTCATGATATTAAGCACTTCAATAGCAAAAACTGCTTTCCTGAAAAATGTTATCCCATAGAAATACACAGCTCGTGTATGTTTACTTTTTTAACAAGCTGTTTGTGCCAAATGCTGAGGAAATGATTTAGCTGTTATTCCTCTCCTCAAATTTATAAATTCTACAGATGCAGGTTGGGATTTCTGCCTAACCAATAAAAATAAACAATTTTCAGTCATCCCATATATATATATATATATATATATATATATATATATATAGTAATTCCTTTTCTCAATGGATCATTAAAGTCAACTGACAAGGTACTACAATTGAAGATTTCATTTTTCTTTTATTTGTATAGGCGTTTACTTTTCTGAACATTAAGTGTGTAAAAACTGTCCACAACTTTTATGCACATGTCCAGAACAAAACACTTATACAACACAAGAAAAATTAAAAAAGCTTAATTGCAGTACCTTGTCAGTCAACTTTAATTAAATATTGTGTGCGTGTGTGCATATGCTTTTTTTCTTTACTCAGTATTATTTTATCCATATATTTTTTTTCTTCCTTTTTTAATTATTTATTGGTAACTTTTTCAATTCTGCTTGCTGACAATTTTGTCACCATGGCCAATTACTCCACATCAGCAAAAACACTATTTTTATTATATTTGCATACATTTCAAGCAATTTGTTTTAATACAACATTATTTCAAATAAGTATATTTCGTTGATACACACGTAGTAGACATCCATTTTTTTTTTGTTAAAAAAAAAAAAAAAAAAAAAAAAAAACAAAACAGGGAAATTAATGCCTACTAGCCCAGAGATTTAAAAAAAAAAAAAAAAAAAAAAAAAAAAAAAAAAAAAAAAAAAGAAAAGATGGAGTCATATATTTCATTAAAAGATGACAGACAAGGTGCCACAATTAAGCTTTTTATTTAATATTTCTTGTGTTTGAACAAATGTTTTCTTTTTTGGACTCAAAATGTGTAGAAACTGTTCAAATATTCTATAATTCTGAACGCTTTTGGTTATAATTTTAGCAATTATCAAGGATGAGTTTATTTTTGCTTTTTAATTGGGTGTATGGGTTGTGTGTAGGTTTTGGAGTTATAGAGATGCTTTATGTTCCAAATACAGTTACCACATTGTGGGCGTGCTCATAGTTAATATTATTAAGTGTTGGCTTTTTCTTTTTTTTTTATTAAGGCTTCAATTATTTTTAATCTTTTTAAACTGCCATCTCCAATCTAAATTTGACCTCTTTACAAAGAAGACCAAAATTGAAATTCTACACCAATCACTATCCCTATTCGAGGTGCGTAGATACATAACAGTTCACACAGATCTGAGAGACCTCCTCAAGGCCAAAGGTTTGAAAAACTGCTCCCCTCACAACTACAATAATATCTTAACAAAACTAAAAATCACCACAAAAGAACTAAAAAATAACTAACATTGTCATCAGACAAGCTGACAAAGCTAATACATATGTAATTTTGAATAAAGCTGATTACCACAAAAAAAAATTACAAAACATTATTGATGACTGAAGTAAATTCACCAAACTGAACAGAAACCCGCATAGAGTCCCTGAAAAAAGGCATCAACAAACTAATAACATCTAATAATGCTGAAGTCAGTTCCCTGAAAGTCCCAGAAATCATTTGAGGCTACCAACCTGGATATTTATATGGAAACATAAAAACCCATAAAACTGGGTACCTGCTACAATCACTCATTTGCCAGATCCCAACACCTATCTAAGAGTTATCTAAATTCCTAAATGACATCATCACTCCATACCAACCCACCAATTTCAGCATCACATCCACCCATGAATTTCTCCAAATTTTGAAAACTACTAAACCAAAACAAGGTATCATAGCATCACTTGACATTGGAAATTTATTTACAAACATCCCTGTCAATCAAACCATTGACATTATCCTCAATTCTGTGTATTCTAATAATTCTATCCTTCTGCCATCCATCAAACCATTTATACTCAAAAAATTACTACACATATGCACAACCAAAGTCCCATTGACCATAATGGCAATATTTACACCCAAACTAATGGTGTTAGTATGAGAAATCCACTCGGTCCATGCTTTTCCACTTATTACATGTCCCATGTAGAAAGCGATATTTAAACAGGTCTGCTACATAGACATTTTTTATTTTAGCAAATAACGAAGGGAAAAAAAAAAAAAAAAAAAAAACTTTACCTACAAACTTAGTAAAAAAAAATAAATAAACTCCCATTCTTAGACATTCTTATACAATATAGTAAGAACACTTTTATCACCTCATTATATAAAAACCTCACTAGCAGAAACTCTTAACTTCAAAAGTAAATGCCCACTCAGATACAAAATGGCAGTAATAAAAAAACTTCCTAAAAAGAGTACAACAGAATTCATCCTTTTGACTACTCTTCCTTAAAGAACTCAATGTAAGACTAGTTAACAATGGCTTCCCTAGCCACCTTATAGACAACCAAATTAGACTATTCCTCCCCAAAGTAAATAACGATAGTGAACATGCAGTCAAAAATAAATATTTTCTACAAAAATCAAATGCACATCAGTTACAAACAAGATGAATTGTCACTTAGAAATATCCAAGAAATACACTATGTCAATTGACCTGAAAAAAAAAAAAAAAAAAAAAAAAATTATCTACTACAAAAAATTTTAAAACAACCAGCCTTATCCTCAAAACTAACAATACACCAGCAAAATCAAAATTACAATGAACAAACATTATCCACGAGTTCAAATGCCCCTTAAGGAACTGTGATCCTGATCAAAACAAACAAAATAATTTGCAAAAAAACTTACGTGGATATTGCGGCTGTGGAGGGTAGGCACCTGAAAAAAAATAAGTGAATTAAATTTATATTATTATATATTAGGATTCAATACCAATGTAAATACAAAAATTTAAGCACAGTACTAGATTGGCAGCTAAGTCTCATTTTACTGCTTAAATTGGTAAATGTAACTAACTCTGTAACCGTCTACCTCGAGTGCCTCTCAGACCTTGTACAGAGTGAACATTGTATAATTAAAAAAAAAAAAAAAAAAAAAAAATGTAATTCAGTTCTCCTGATAGTTTCTACTCCAGCACTTGCCTCTAGAACTGTTCCCTTGTTGTTTTCCTGTCAACTGAAAAGTACAAAAATTTAAAAGCCATGTTAATCATTTTCTCTCTCCTTGAACCAATGTTTTTTTTCAGTTTTCTTAACTATTATCTTTTTAGTGACTATCACCTTGCTCTGAGTGAAATAATGAGAAAAAAATCTAGACACAAAAACCAATTTTGTGTGAAAGCTGTGAACTGAAACTAGTGAGAGCAGTCTTTGTATTTTTGTCCAAATTTTTCATTAGTTGTTCAGAGTCTATTATCATTATTATATGAAAGTTAACTGTTAGAGAATTTATCAAGACATCATATTTTAATCACTGTTCTTGAAATAACAGGTTATAATTACTCAAAATCTTTGATACACAGCAAAAAAGCTGGAAACAATACTCAATCTAAAGGTTGATTAGTTTATACAGAGATTTTCCTATTGTTTCCTCTGCATGAGATCCAAAATTACTTTGTTTTATCCTACATTTTAGTGTTTGCATCTTTTGTGATTCACTAAACATGGTCTGCCTTCAGAAACCACACAAAATCATTTCCACACAAAATGTTGAACAGAGATGTATTCTTCTAAATTTACTTTACATGAATTATGTGCTCAATGTTTGTGTGGCTCCAAATGCCATTTTGGCAGGTTTTTTCTTCTATATACAACAGTCACCAGTCTCCTCCTCAAACTTTGGATTATAAGTGGACAGTGAAAACCCAGAGCCTTTGGGTGTTGACTAAAAGTCTCACTTTTATATTTACATATGCTCTATCCCTTATAGTGAGCACTTTAACCCATAAATATAGCATTAAAAACTTAAATATAGCTTAAAAACTTTATATATATATATATATATATATATATATATATATATATATATATATATATAGTGCTAATCAAAACTTGGATAATTCAAATAGATTGATTAATTTGTTCTTTTGACAACTACCACATTAATTCTTGGATCTTATGAGACATTTCATCTATCTCTTGAAATCACATCAGAAAATTAAGTTTCTCTCAATATTCTATTTCTTTAAAGAAGCCACTTAAGTTCTTTGAAATCTTTTCTTCTCATGTGATGTATGTGTGTGCATATACATTGTGTATACTCTTATTCTTAAATATTCAAGCATGCTCCATATTAAATTACTTTAAAGTTAATTGATTGATTTTTTTTTGTTTTTTATTATTAGATCATCAACCCTTTGTGGATTAATTAAAGATGAAGGATTTGACTGTAAGAATAATTTCCATTTTTTTTGTGAATGAATATTACATTAGCAATTTTGGAGAGATAATGTCTTTTCCACATAAAAGTCTTACTATTTAATATACACAGCTGAGGATGAGAAGAGTTGGATTCATACATTTCTCAAGGATATTTGCCTGTCAATGAATAATTCCTTCAAAAGAATTTAACATAAGAAAACAAAATAAATTTTAACAGCCTCCTTGTGCCTTTTCTATAAATATTTTCATGGCAGTTGTTCTGATGAGCTCTTCTCTTTGGTACACTGACTTCAGGAATTTAAGTATGGTACTTGATTGGCAGCTAGGTATAGTTTCATCTTTCATACTTTGCACATATAGAACTCTTCCAGCTTCATGCTTTTCTGTCAACTACAATCTTCAAAAAAATTTAAATGCAATTTTTTTTTTATTGTTCTTTCTCCTCTGTAAAATTTTCTGTTTCCTTCTCTCTTGCTAACTCCTTGTGTATTAGGGGCTTTATCATGTTTGGGGGTGAAATAGTTAAACATTTCACATTTTCAGTGCTGTCTAATGTTTAGCAGTTCTCAAAGTGGGTGACTGTTTTTAACATCATTTCCTTACTTTTATTAACACTGACTGCTCATTCAAATAAATACCAAATATTTCCTTATAAGTAAACAGTTAATATTACCATGCAAAAGTAAGTTATGCTTAGTGAATAACTAAGCAAAAAAATAAAAATAAACAAACAAATAAATAAATAAAAAAAGTAAAATAAATAAATAAAAAAATTAATGATTTTTATACCTTGAGGAGGATATCCTGGTTGAGGTGGGTAACCAGCTCCACTTTGAGGAGGATAGGCACCTGGTACAGATCCAGGGTAACCTGAAGGAGGAGGAGGTACTACACCTTGTGGATACATAGGTTGGCCGGGATAACCACCGGACCCAGGGTAACCCTAAAACAGAAAACATCATGCTGCAGATTAACATGGAATGATTATAAATACATTACATATATAAAACGACAGCCAGAGTCATTCCTCAAGTTTTACACTCACATGATCTTCAGACTAGAACATACTAGTCATCTGAAAATCACAAGTGCGTGAAACTCTAGCAACTACTCAAACTGTCCTTTGTTAAGTGTTGACTTTCTGAAGTGTTTTCTGCCTTGTTTGGATAATCTGGGCATTGAGCACTTTACAGAGTTGGTAGTAAAATTGTAAATTCTTTTTGTTTTGGATTTTTCTTGTTTAATGTGTTAGGTTTTCTGGCAAGCTGTGTTGGTCACACCAACATCGCTGTGTGTGTGTGTGCGTGCGCAGATAAACCACGGTAGTTGGGGTCCAAAACTTCTCCACAGTTTAGATCAAAAGTGAGCCCCGATGTCAGGATTGCCAGCTTAGACCACCAAAACAAAGCTTGTCAAGTCCATGGAGTTAACCGATAAAATGGGTAACACAGTAGCTAAGCTTGCAAAATGTGTATTCAATAGTAAGAGTTGAATATTGGCAGTTTTGAAAAACATTTATTAAAACTATCTTAATTTCACATTTTTAATAAATTTACCAGTACGTAAGGGAAAATAAAGGTTGTAAAGCTGCATATTTCACACTCAAAATGTCTGCAAAGTGCCAATCCAAATCCCTACAGAATCGTGAGTGTGAAATATCAAAGCCTAAACAACAGTAAATGCCTGGGAAAATACGCATATACTGAAAGTATTAAAACTCAATTTAATGAATTTATTAAAATAAAAGATTATACAGAAAAAAAAGACTTCATAAAGTGTCACAATCAAGTCTGAATTTGTTTCAAATTGGGATCCACTACGATTCTAATATGAACACGAGAAAAATTTTTGGGTCCATTGCACATGCACAGCTTAAGCAACATTGCGTTTTATTTCGTGCGTAGCTTAATGGCACTGACATATATATATATAAAAAACAAAAAGGTATTGTTACCCCCCCCCTTTTTTTTTAAACCCTTTAGCATTCAACCCAACAGGAGGATTTGTATGGTGACAAAGAAAAGAGTACCAAGCTGCTACATGACATCTGTCCTATACAGCAACAAATGTTGGACGGTATCCTCAAGGATGAAGAGACTCAAGGCAGTGGAGATGTGGTTCTACAGAAAGATGCCAAGGATATTACAGACAGAGCATGTAAGCAACGATGAGGTCTTGGGAGGTTGCAAACAAGGAGGAAGCTTATGCTTAAAATAAGAAAGAGGCAGATGAAATTCCTGGGACACATGAGAAAGGAGGGCCTGTAGAATCTGATAATCATGGGACGAATAGAGGGGGAAAAAAAAAAAAAAAAGAGACAGCGCATGACATACGTGGTGGGTTTGGGCAGATGGATGGCAGAACATGGTCTGGGGGAGTTGGCAGAAATACTAAACCTGTTAAGAGCCACAAGGGATAGAGGGAAGTGGAGAGCCATGATCACCTACATCCTGAAAGGACACAGCACATAAATAGAAGCATTCAACCCAGCCCATAAATATTGGCTCTCAATATTCAACCTGCCATAGACTGTCCCATGTATACACTGCTATAATATATAACAATTTCAAATAATGCAAACATCATGCCAACAGTGAGACTGACCATATAGACAGTAAAACTTTGAGAGCCAATATTTACAGGGTAGGTTTGAGCATATTGAATGCTAGAAAAGGTTAATATTGAGCACTTTATTTGTTAAAAAAAAAAAAAAAAAAAATGCTTGCCTTGAATACATTATCCTCCAGTAATTTACTGGTTGACATGTTCTTTTAAGCATAAACGGTCTTATTATTATTATATATAAAAAGAACTTTTAAACTATTAGAACAAGACAAAAAAAGTTTAAACATTTTCTTTAAAATTCTAAAGAATTAGTCTTCAGGTTCAACTCAAGTTTTCCTGAAAGTTACCAGGATTGACAAACACTGGAAGAAGGCTGGGAAGTACAACAGCCGAAATGCTGTGATAACCCCCCCCCAAAAGATGTGGACATTAGTCTTATTATAAATGTAAATAATGATAGATATATTTTTTTGACTTACTAGGTAAAGTATAGTGGGCAACTTACTAGGTAAAGTATAGTGGGCAACTTACTAGGTAAAGTATAGTGGGCAACTTACTAGGTAAAGTATAGTGGGCAACTTACTAGGTAAAGTATAGTGGGCAACTTACTAGGTAAAGTATAGTGGGCAACTTACTAGGTAAAGTATAGTGGGCAACTTACTAGGTAAAGTATAGTGGGCAACTTACTAGGTAAAGTATAGTGGGCAACTTAGGTAAAGTATAGTAAGGCAACTAGGTAAAGTATAGTGGGCAAAGTATACTAGGTAAAGTATAGGTGGGCAACTTACTAGGTAAAGTATAGTGGCAACTTACTAGTAAAGTATAGTGGGCAACTTACTAGGTAAAGTATAGTGGGCAACTTAAAGTAGGTAAAACTTACTAGGTAAAGTATAGTGGGCAACTTACTAGGTAAAGTATAGTGGGCAACTTACTAGGTAAAGTATAGTGGGCAACTTACTAGGTAAAGTATAGTGGGCAACTTACTAGGTAAAGTATAGTGGGCAACTTACTAGGTAAAGTATAGTGGGCAACTTACTAGGTAAAGTATAGTGGGCAACTTACAGCTTTTTCTCACAGAAACAACAATTTATTTTTTTAATTATAACTAATTTTAAATTCTTCCTATAAAATATTTAATTGACAACCTTATCTAAAAGCTAGAATTTTTATAAAGATTTGTGTGAAGATGTTTATAACCCCCTTAGTAACTGCTTTACCCATTCCTTAAATGATATGCTCTGATATGGGGTGGGGGGCATTGAGGGCCCAGTCTTGTTGAGCACTAGTTTGCTTTTAGTGTTATGCATGTTCCTTTGCTGATGCCCTATTGTTTCCACTCCCCAATGCTGTTAGGCATGCTTTTGATTTTTTTTTTCTTTCAGAAGTAATGCTGATTCTCTAGCATTTCTATCATGGCCATATGAGCATTTCCTTTCCCTCAATGAGTTTAGTTAGTGTGTGCATATGAAAGACACATCAGCTACCCACATAGCATCACAAGTTGCCAAATAACTGATGTTTATGTGTAAAACACATGAATCAGTAGTGGTCGGTCATCGTATCACAGAAAGTTATTAAGAAAATGATATTTATTAATGTTCTGCTATTAAATATGGCATCAAGCTCTTTTTCTCTGGTGTGGCTTTGTAGCACACTCCCTTAAGAGTTGCTCACTTTATACAGACACACACGGGTATATATATGTTTTTAAAAGAATTAATTCAAGTACATTATTTGCATAGTTTTCTTGAATCCTAATATTAAAAAGGTTGGCTGTCCCTGTCCTCAGCTTCAACTGAAATTCGAGTTAGTTTTGCTGTTTCTATTTTGTGCTGATAAGCATTGAGCTACCACATTGCATTGTGATAAACTGACCATCAGTATTGCAACCTGGAAGACTACTACTTTTTCAGTTGCATTTATACTTTAGCAACTGTCAGTTATGAGCTGGTGTTAAAGTGGAAGATTTAAAGCTCACACTCTTTCCTAAGAAAATTAGTATAAAACAATACCAATGCTACTAAGACAGAAATCAAATATGAAGTTGCATTGCTTGATTTTACTTGTCAGACCATTTTATTTTTTAATCTGAACAAATACTAGCCTATTAAATCTTAAGTGAACCCAAACCACTTGCCAATACCACATTCTCTGCATATTTGGGCTAATGTTTGCGATTTCATAGTTGCCAGTGTATAATAGAAAAATATCACTTTGAAAAAAATGGCAAGATAATTAAAAAAAAAAAAAAAAAAAGCAGGATAAAAAAAAAGCAGGATAAAAAAAAAAGCAGGAAAAAAAAAAAAAAAAAGAGCAAGAAATGAAAAAGTTAAGCAAAGCATCAAAACAAAAAAGCACAAGGAAAAAAACATAATACCAGTAGTGCACAGCAGCAAAATACATGTTAGACTATGTGATTCTTTTTAAATAATGAAACTTGAATGTTGAACATGTAAACCTGTTCAACAGGTCCATAGAATATTATACATTATTTTCTCCATATTACAACTTATACTAATCATTTCCCTGTCAATGTGGGTGGCACTAGTGAATAGCATAAAATATTTGAAAATTTAAAACACGATAGGTAAGTATAGAAAAAAAAGGTAGATAAAATCTTTAAAATTTAAAAAGAAAAATGACTGGCGGTGTAGCGGAGAGGAGTAAATTGTCATGGGGTAAGTGATTCAAATTCTGGTCTAGTCTTAGTAGCTGGGTATACTGGGCTCCTTATCCTTGTCTCTCAACTAGTCTAGAAGGAACACTGAATTCAAAATCAGTCTGAAGAGGAATGGGTTCTGTCAGGTTTTCTTGACTTAGATATACCCAATTGTTACAGCCGCAGTACAAGTAATGTCTACAATCCTAATGGGTTATGAGACTCATGATGCAATGAAGTGATTAAAACCTTTAACCTTTTAAAGTGTTGGTATTCTGAAAATTTATTAATTTTAAGCTCTCTGTAATGATAAACATATATATATATATATATATATATATATATATATATATATATATACACAAAGTCATAATATTCACTCCTACTGTCTCATTTTCCATCAAGTTTATGAAATGTTATTTTTATTTTAAGCAATTATTGAATGCTTTAATCTGATATTATTTGTTTTTATTATTATAAATGTTAAATTAAGTAGATACATGTATAAGTGACATCCAGGGCTGGCCCTAGGGTTGCTGCCATCCTGAGCAAGCTGGCACCATTACATGTATATTGTTAAAAATTTCACATGGAGAAAATTGAAACATTCTGTTGTGGTGTTTCCAAACAGAAACAAAGAATTCTCAAAGATTTTACTCAACTCAAGAAATTTTTTTTTTTTTTTCATTTTATTTATTACTAGCTTAAAAGCCACCTTATTGCATAGAATTTAAGCTAACTCCTGTGGAGGGCTCTTGATTGAGCCTTCATCACAATAGGTAGGGAGGAGTAGATGCAATTTAAACTACAGAAGAAATCAAAATTGATCACTGCAATATTTCACCTTACCTTTTAAAACTAACAATAATTCTTCTGCCGCCACTTAAGACAATTTGATGTACGTAGATCCTTACTTTCTGTACAAACAATTATTTTTATTTCATGAGTGACTTTTGCAATTAATTTCAATTATTTCCAAGTTATAAAAATTGTTATTGTACAAAAATTTTTCAGAAAAAAACAAAAACAAACAAACATTGCAGTAATGAAAACTTGGAAATCCAAATTTTCAGAATCGCTGGTTCAAATCTGGACCAGAATGTTTTTAATTTGCCCACAGAGTTGGCCTGATTGCATAATGGTATTATATGTTGGGCTATGGCCTCTAGGAGTATAGCTGAAAAAGTGTGATACAGTGACATTCACATTTTTTTCTTTTTGTTGGGAAGATCCCAAACACATAACATGGCAGCATGATGGTGCCCTCAGCCATCATGGCATCTGGGCAAGTTGCCAGCCTTGGTAACATCCCTATTTTAAACAGTGAAATTTATGCCAACCCGCCTCAAAATTTTTAATAGTAATAAAATAAAAAAAAATAAAAAAAAAAAAAATGATCAAGAAATTCAGGTTTTCAGTTTATTTCTAAACTGTATAAACACAAGCAAAGTACACTTCAAGAAACCTACAAGGAGGTGCTGAAAAATTTTCAGCTTGATCCACTTCCTAAAATGTGATACAAGCAAACAATTTTTTTTTAAAGCTTCCTGATCTCACTGAGAACTTTTCAGTGCCTCACTTTCAATACTAAGCTCATAAATCACTATTTTATACATAATTTTTCTATATAAATTTGTCTTTGATCAAATTTACTTTTGGCCAGTTTTTCTTAGTAATTCTGAGAGAAGGTATTGTTAATATATTAACATTTACTTTGGACTAACATTCTCATCTTTATAAAGTTGCTAATTTCTTATAATAAACGTTCTATTTAGTGGGTACATGTGTGAGTAGACATCACTGTTCATTTTTAAACAGAAATTAATGTCAGTCAGCCTAGAGACTAAGAAGTCTTTACAAAAGAAAATGTGCCATCCAGCAGGAATCAAACCTGTATTTTTTTTTTTTCCAATCAAGGAAAGCCACTTTTAAGCCAAATGTATCTTACCAATTAGACTACAGAAAGTCATCCAAATAAAGAAAATGGGACCTACTAATGAAATAAATATGCAACTGATAAGAAATTGGTAGTGTATGTTATTTTAGAAAACTCATAATAAAGCGCAATGTCAGCATGCACTAATCAAAATCACATTTTTTTTAATAATATTGCTTACCCAAATAAATACAAAACCTAAGAGCCGCTCAAGGTAGAGTGTTACTGAATGAGATTGTTGTAAGAGTGTAAAAAGGTAGGAAGAAGGGGTGCATATTATAAGAATATGTAGGATAGGCAATGGTTGAATCTAGACTTAGAGTTTAAAGTTCTAAGAAAGTGACTGAAAGCTCCAGTGAGTGACAATGAGCTTTTCACATTATCTGTTAATGTAATCATTTTATAAATATTTAGAGCAAAGAGAACCAAATGAGAGAAAACTAGTTGCAAATTATCAAAACATTCATCCTTGTAATTGTTACAACAGCTGCTGGTGTTGAGAAAATGTAGAAGTGCAGCAGCCAAAGAGAGAAATTAAAGAATAAAATGCCAAAGAAAATCATATGACAGACAGATGGTGTGTAAGTGGAAGTAAAAGGACAGACAAATTTTGCTACAGCAAAAGTAGCTGCTGAGGACTGAAACAGTTGTAATGAACACACGACAAAGTAAATATGGAAAGAATTAGATTACAATTGCCATAAGGCAAGGTTTTCAAATGGAATCATTACTGTCATACCAATTATGCCCACCCATTATGGTATCAGCAACAAGCAATTTGGCTATATGAAGAAAAATAATTTACAAGTAAATTTTCAACCTGCAGTCAATATACAAGGGTGTCTCGCTGTAATGAGTTTAGTCCATACTGAGGGCTGCACACATGTTGCACTATATGGACCAAAATACAGAACTTGGTGGTCTTCACTTCACTAGTAAAAATTTAAACTTTCAGATGAACATTGATGACATTGTGCTAATATTGAAAGAACTGAATAAACAATATGTATCAACACAGTGATTTTTCTCACTTCCTTTAATAATGGCACCAAAAAGGTTGTCCATGAATATTAAAGGATCCAATTAGATAAAACTTGGATAAATTATACAATGAAACACACATTATATATATATATATATATATATATATATATATATATATATATATATATATATATAAATAATATAAAATAAATAAATAAATAAAGGTGGACATGGGTCAACACTAAGCAGGCTACACGAGTTGTTTTGGCTCAACTATATATGCTGGTCAAGGGTGCATTATAGGTAGCAAGGTGCATTGTCTTGTAACAGTTATATTTCAAATTATTCTGGACACTATAGAGTAGGAATAATTGTGGATCTGAATGCAATTATTTCTAGCTTTTTTTTTTTATATAGTGTGTGGACATTTTATTCATTTATCATTGATTACTTAATTATTTGTTGTTTTTATTTTATTATTATAACATCACAACAACAACAACAACAACCACACCAACACAACAGCAACATTAACAACATGTTAACAACATTATATTAACAACAACAAAAACAACTTGTGTTTAGATGTGCATTAGCAGCCCGTTAACTTGTTTAAATTATACAAAATTTGTTTCCCCAATGATTGCTTGTCTTATTTGTTTAAAATATTGGCTTCATCTATCTCCAGTATCCTTAAGTTTGATTACTGAAATACTAATTTTCAGGAAGTGGTTGAGGTCAACTTTATAGTTTTATTCTCAAGAATAGGGAGAGAGGAAACAAAACACCAACATGACAAATTAAGAGAATGTTTAATGTAAAAATTCTGATAATAGCAAAGCCAAACGCACTATTCTAAGAGCAAATGGATATGAAAAAGACTTACCATTCCAGGATACATTCCTTTCTTTTTAGCTTGCTGAAATTAAAAAAAAAATAAATACAAATTAGAATATTACTGAGATATTAATTATGCCATAAAAATAAAAAACAAACCTATTAAGATTTTGTTACATTGAAAAATGAAGTTATTCTGTAGAGAGTTAATTATATATATATATATATATATATATATATATCATTACCTTTGGCCTGTACTAAGCTATAAACCATTATTGAAAATTATATATATATATATATATATATATATGTAAAGAAATGAACAGATGGCCTAATGGCTAGAACATTTGCTTTCTGAACATGGGACCCAAATTTGAATCTCAAAGATTCATGTGTCAGGAAAGTGGCTTCTTGATGTTATGTAGCACCTTTGCAAAGTGTTAAAAATCAAATGATGGGTTGACCAAAGCCTTGTGAGTGAATTTGAGTAGACAGAATTGTTGATCAATGCTTGTGCTAGCACAATGCCACAAGTCCTTGTGACTGTGTGTGTGTGTGTGTGTGTGTGTGTGCACACATATTGGCCTTGTTCAAACTGGTGATCATGCCAGATGATGTACTCTCTCCCATAAACTCTAAGGTTCACTAAGCATAGTTTGGAGTATTAAATCACAGGTTGGCTCCGTATTGGCTGGATCCCCTAGAGGACAGGTATACTTGAATATGAACGGCCAGTCAGTTGCTGCTGCTATTATTATTATTGACCATGATGTTGATGATATAAACAGCATTAAATATAGCAGTGCTGAACAAGTGGTAGGGGAGAAGGAATAAAGTAAGTTAAGACAGGCTTCCTGTGGTGAAAACAGCCAGTTTATGTCTCCATGAGATATTTTTAATTTCTCATCTGCACTTATTAAGGGCTGTAGAATGACAGCTGAAGTAGTTATGATGAAAAGTAACTAAAATTCAAAAACAAAGTGATACTATTCAAAAATTAATAATGGTTGACAATGCTCCATATAATAAAATTTTTTCATTTTACCCAAAGCAAAGTGATAATGTCACTAATATGTAAGGGGTTACTGAGAGTGAAAGAAAGTGAGATGACCTTAGTGAGGAGAAAGGACAATAAAAAATAGGAAGACAGAAGATGGAAATTGGAGTTGTATATAAATTTTCAAAGTGTTATGTGGCAGGGAATCAAGAAACTGGAAAAAAATTCCACAGGCAAGAAGTGCAAGGAAAGATTCTATGCTGCTTATTAATGTATTGTTTGATGGCACACTAGTCCGACAGGTGGCAGGTGAGTCTATGAGGGTGCGGTTGTGGTATATTCTATGTAAGATATTTTGTTTTGTGTTTTTTTTTTTTTTTTTTTACAGAGAAATATTCTCCAAGATCATAGTAACATTAGACAGCTACTCACAAACAATACCAAAATACTAGCAAAATCAAATAGAAAAGCAGACATGATCATACAATACTCATACAAAAAAAAAAAAAAAAAAAAACTATATTAAAAAAATTATAATCTAAGAGCATGCACACTCAAATGAATATATATATATATATTAACAAAAAAAAATTATGTGGAAGAGTGCTCAGTATTGCAGATAGAGCATATGTAGATATTAACAGTATGTATATAGAGGAATGAATACTGCATGGTGACTCAGTTTGTTGCCTTAAGAGATCATAATACATGTTATACACATTATGTGTTGGCATGTACCATTTTTTGCAAGAGAGAGCTACTTGTATCGGCATAGATTGTTTAGAGTGGTGAGAGAAAAAAAAAAAAAAAAAGAGAAAAGAATCTCCTTGTTGGGTTTGGTACCCTTGCCCAGAGTAGCTCAGTTAATTGACAGCTCGTGCAACTATTAAACTGTAGGCTTTTGTCAGTGTAGTCCTGTGGGTGCATGACCGAGTGATTAGAAAATTAATTTGACCATCAATTTGTCAGGGAGATGACTTCTTGAATAATATCAACAATCCCAGCATCCCATGCATTAGGAAGAGCCTGAAAACTACACTGCAAGTTGACGCAAGCATAGCTTTCAAATTTCGGTGGATGAAACTGTTTAGAATATGTTGATGGCTGTGCTGGCATGAAGTCACAAGGCATCATGACCAAAGGTTTGAGCAGAATGGCCTTGTTCATGGCAGATTACATGGTTTCTCCCAGGAAATGTAACCAAGGTGTCCTCAGCATAGTTGCAGTATACACAACAGGTTGACGCTGTGAGTGTTGAACAAAAACCTATGTACCTGAGCAGGCATCTGTAACAAGGATTAGCTAGTCACAGGCAGGCATACACAGATATGAACAGCCAGCTATACAGCTTTCTCTTTGAATTATATCCTCATAGCTGCAGATCAATAATCCCTGAACTGATGTATTACAATTCATGCCTTTTCCTAGGGGCATAGCATGAAATGAACCTAACCAGTATCAGCCAGAATTTGAACAATCCGGTGATTCAATATTTCTGTGTCCTTAACCATCACTTCATCCTAGGACTGTATACAGAGGGAGAGTCAGTAAAAATTATAGAAAACCCTGAAGTGTTTGTTTATGAAGACATGATCTATATTAGAATCTGGTTAATTTGGACAACAGGAAGAGGATAATTTGGCTCAGTTATCCAACTGGTCTGCTTATGTATGGCAATATGTAAATAATTTAAATATGTATGTTTTCAGTGTTAGCATGACATATACATTGTATTAAACAATTTTTCTCATTTGAATCAGTTTAAAATAATCTTAAAATATGTAATGTAAAAAAGATACTATAGAGTTAAACAAGCACTGAGCAAATCTTAAGGAAAATAGGAACTAAAAGGACATACAATCAGAATGAGACAACTGAAATTTATGAGGCACACAAGAGGGTTTGGAGAATCTAACTCACAAGGCATATTGAAAACAAGAGAAGCAGAAGGAAACAGTAAGTTTGCTTGAATGTATGGCAGAACAGGGATAAGAGAGTCAAAAATTACTTAAGACAGGAAGTTGGAGAGAGCCATAAATGTCCACATCCTAAAAGGACATTAAGCATAAAAGTAGAAGACAGATTTAAGACATAGTTAACCCTTTAATGTTCACTGAGGTTTCACAAATTTAGTTTTCCCTACAGTTCTCTCTTAACCCTTTAGCATTCAACCCACCCCATAAATATCGGCTTTCAATGTTCAACCTGCTGTAACCCATCCAATATATGTTGCGCCATAATATAGGACATCATAAATAATGCAGGAAGTCACACAAGTAGTGAAACTTTGACCACAAACAGTAAAACTGAGAGCCGATATTTACAAGGTGGGTTTCAGCGTATTGAATGTTCAAGGATAAAGCAACTGTATGTGAACAAACTCAGTGGAATACATCTAGCAAAACTTACTGCCTTTTTTATAGCCAAAATAAAATTTAAAAAAAAAAAAAAAAAAAAAAAAAAATGTAAAAAAAAAAAAAATTAAAAATAAAAAGGTTATAATCTATTTATAGATATTTCATTGCTTGCTAATTAGTCATATTTTTTAAAAGGTTAGAAATTTTTTAACCATATAGGTAGCATTGTGACACTATTTAGCTATGATAATTGATTAACTAATTAACCACAAATATTAAAGAAAATACTGAGAATAGGAAAGAAGACACCAAGATTTTATTTTTACTTGGAAGAATAAAAAAAAAAAAAAAAAAAAGTTACTTCCCTCAAAAACCCAAAGAATTGGCGTAAAACAGTGGACTCACAAAAAGGCCATATACGAGCTTCTGACAACAATTCATTAATGATGTTTGTAAAAGTACTGGTTAATGAAAAACCGAAAACAAAATATCATTCAAAATTGCAAGATTTTAGAAGTCAACCAGGCGATGAGACCATATGTTGATTATAAAAATTTTGGCATGAGTAAATATTCAGAAATATTTGCCAATATGGGGTAGAGAGAAATACCACTATTTATTTTTCCACAATATCATTTTTAAGTACCAGCAATCAAGGCCATGTGTTGATTAAAAATTTTGGCATGAGAAAATATTCCAAAATATTTGCCAATACAGGGTGGAGAGAATTACCATTATTTTTCTCAAAGAAGCCAAGGGTTTGTGTAGATGCTAAACTCCAAAAAGGGGACAAAATGGTGGGCTTTGACAATTGATTGATGACGTAAAAGTACGGGTTGAGAAAAAACACAGAATAACAAAGCATCAAGGATATGGTTTTAAGTGGCCATGTGTTGATTATAGAATTTTGGCATGAGAAAATCTCGAAAGAAATGCCGATTTGAAGATGAAGAGATTTATTTTTCTTTTCCAAGAAGCCAAGGCTTCCTGCAGACCTTGATGATGTCGTTTGTAAAAGCACGGGTTAAAATAACACAAAGTGGCCAGGAGTGTCGAAGATAGAGATTTCAAGAGAGAGCCATGTGTTATTTGTAAGAATTTTGGCCAGAATGAAATGGAAAGTAATTAATTGTCCCAAAATGGGTAGTAATCAATTTTCCTAGCCAGACAAAGAAGTCCCTTATCAGAAATCGGAACTTAACCAAACATCCCAAGTTGCGTCTAACTCTGCACCGATTTTTGGTCGGTGTCCTTATAAGTGAGCGCCCTTGGGCTGTTTGCCATTTGTTGAAAGTTTCAGTCCAGCAGTTTGAGTAGCAGGAACCAGAGTGTTGCCTCACAGAAGCTGACTGAGAGATTCCACAACCTCCAACTTTGCTTTTCCTACCAATAGCAAGTTATACTGACAAATAAAGCTAAGCCAGCATTTAAAAACTAAACCTGGTGACTTAGAAGACCAGAACTTGTCTAAGAAGTATAAAAGTGTCACTCTCTGAAGAAATGGGTTGGGGAAAAAAAAAAAAAAAAAAAAAAAATACATATTCCTGTATATAACAGACAGATAAAAGTTGATTTGTTTCTTTCAACATACTCGAACCTCTTGGGGTTTTATTTGCTTCTTTTCTTTACGCTTGTACGAGATCACCTCCAGTTTAGACTCATCTTGCCTGATTGATCTTGTCTACCTAAGATCAAAATCACAACATGGGTAGGTTAGACTCGAGA